GTCTGCTTGAAAGGATTAAAAGTTTAATACATATTAAAAATAATTTAATATAAGTTCCAATTACCAAAAAAAATTAGAAATAATTTTATAAGTGTAAATACAAGTTTAATATAATAAAAAATGTATAAAAATAGAAGAAAATTGGATGAAAAACCTACGGGTTGGCCCACAACCCGTTGGTCGAGGGCTGGGTCAAACCCGACCTACATCTAGACGGGTCGTGGACCGGACTAGGTCTAGTCCTAGACCCAAGATCAGAGAAATAGACCCGGCTCACTCTAGCCTGATCGGGCTTGGATTAGGCCTAGCCCGATCTTGAACCCGACGGGCTGGGTCATGGGCCTGAACCAGCCAGGCCCACCCCTACCAAAAAAATGTATACAAAGAAATTAGTGAAAAAATGTAAATGTAAAGATCATCAATAATAGATGATGCAAATTAATTAAAATAATAAACAATTAAAAATAAGGAAAATAATTTGTAAACTACCCCCACCCCTACCTTGCAACTTAGGGGTACTCTAAAACCGAAACTGAACCGTTGAAGTTGGTCGGTTCAAACCTGACCGTTAATTAATAAACCCTAGACTAGGGGTGGAAGTGAACCGAATAATTAATAAACAGTTCGGTTATTATTCGCGCAAATATTCAGTCAAGTTCGATTCGGTAGTTCATTTACTATTAAACAAATAATTTTTACTATTCGGCTTATAAACTAATAGAATTTAACCAAAGATATGTTCGATTCGGTTGATTACTAGCTATTCGATAACTTTTCACATTTTAGTCCTATTAATTAAACTTTTTGCAAACACTACTCATCTAAATTTTTATTTACAAATGTTAACCCATATAAATACTTAAGGGGGATTTCAGGGCTAGGGCTCTCTCCTATCGTCTTCGAGATTCGCCCCTCCACTCAGCCGCTCGTCTCCGACGATTGTCTTCAAGATCTACCCCCTCCGCTCAGCCGCTCAACCACTCGTCTCCGACTCTTGTCTTTGAGATCCGCCCCTCCGCTCGGCCCTCACTCGTCTCCAACTCTCGTCTTCGATTGAGAACTCCGTTGCTGGAACCAGTTCAAAGATGGCTCCGGTAGTAATCCTTGATTGTTTTAATTAGAGCTTTCATCAGTTGTTGTGAAGGTCGTCAGATTGTAACCTTCATCAGTCTACGTGAAAGTCTTCAAATTGTAACCTTCTGAAAGTCGTCAGATTATAACTTCTATCATCGGTATTTTGATGGGGATCAGCTATCTATTATGATTTTTTGACAGCCTACAGTTTTAATTTCGTTTACTATTTTTTTAAGTAAAAGATTTTGTTCTCGATTTCAAGAATTTTTTTTATTTCACTGATGTTTGAGTTTGGTGCAGCTTGAGGAAGAGGATTTGGAGAGGAAACTCAAGAAGGAACAGAAGGTATAATTTTGTTAAATTTTTGGTGTTTATATTACACATTAAGATCTGGGTTTTGCTTTTTTACACATATATGATATGACATGGAATACTTCATTGCATGCAGTGTCCTCTTATCAGTAAAAATCACATTTTTGGGACAATCTAGGAGTTATATAATTTTTTCAGGAGTCTTAAATGAACTATTATATGACAGAAGTAGACAGAAATTATTCCTAACAGTTTTCCCCAGTAGGAATTACTTTAAAGATTGTTTCTTGTAATTTTTTTCTGTACTGTTCGTGCTTCTTTTACCTGTTTTGAAGTTCAAAGATCCGGGCTGTGTGATGTTTCTGAGGTGATATAGAAGAACAAGTACAATTAAGGAACTCAACGACAATCACAAAAAAACGTGGAATTATGTATGAACTGTTGTGATTTAGCTGTGCTGTCAGTCGTTGAATGTTACACTACATTGTAAAAAACACCTCTAATTTTTGGTAACCCAGTTTGCTGCAGATGTTAAAGTAGCTATCTTGTACACTTAAACATCCCCTTCTTTCCCGTACTTCACTAGTATTTTTGGCACGAATTTCTTCAATTGCATGATTTATATCTGTTTCCTTGGCAGGCTAAACTCAAAGAGGAAAAAAAACTGAAGGCTGCACAAAAAGCAGAAGCTGCCAAACTTCAGGTAAAATTTAGGTTTTGCTAGTAATTTTTTCTTTCTAATTTGAAGTAGCGTAGCTGTGCATTGATATTTTTTCTGGAGAAATGGTTATTTATGCACAGTTATGATCAAATGTTTTTTTTAAAATAATCTCTATGTTATCTGATAGGCACAGAAAGCAACTGAGGGATCGAAGAAAAGTGAAAAGAAGCTTCGGAAACGGGAAGCTGATGATGAGAATCCTGAGGACTTTATTGATCCTGTGACTCCTGCTGGAGAGAAGAAACAACTCTCCCATCAGATGGCAAAGCAATATAGCCCTAGTGCAGTGGAAAAATCGTAATGCTATTGTTGATTGAAGTATTTCAATAAGCAGAAAACAGATACATGATTCTAACTAAATTTGTTTTCTCTTTGTCCATCTAGATGGTACTCGTGGTGGGAGAGATCAGGATTTTTCATGGCAGATTCTAGCTGCTCAAGACCTCCTTTTACAATAGTAGGTCCTTTATTGTATTTCGTGCTCAAATTATTATGCTTTATCTAGAGTATTTTCCTTTTGTACACAAGAACCTTGCTGCCGATTTTCTTTCAATGGAAAATAATGCTTTAGCT